ACTACAAAAATGCTTTTTGCATGTAACATTATTATTAATTTGTTGGTAAACCAAAAAAATATTACTAATGCATAATTATTATTATAGAGCATATACAATAAATGGGGGGATGTGTGGGGGATCCAACTTTTTAATAAAATAAAATAAAATAAAATAAAAAAAAACAGCAGCTGCCTTTGGGTTTGGGCGGCGACCTCTGCCTTCTTGAAGATTGCGCGTGCATTCAATGTGTCAATAGATCTTCTTCTCCACTCCTTCTGACTCAAGTATTAGTGACGGATTGGCACTAAATACAGTTGTAGAGATAAGTGATGAAGGAAAGGTCAAGGACATGGTCATGACTCAGGTGGAGGCCGAAGTAGAGGTGTTGGTGGCAGAGGTCAAGGAAGTCATGTGTATGCATTGTAGGCAATACAAATCATACGGTTGATAAGTCTTGGGACAAGGTTTATAAGCATGCTTGGGCAAATCAAGTTACACATTTGAGAGTGATGACCTTTATCTGAATGGACCCAATGATCGTCAACAATAGTCGAATTTTGTTGGTAACTCTGTCGTACTTTCCAAAGAATAATATAATAAACTTGTTAAACAAGTACAACAATCTATGGTTCCCTCTTCCCCTTCTACTGCCACCCTTGTCAATTCAATAATTTTTGTGGTGTTCTTGCCTCTCAGAAACCTGCTCCTTGGGTTATTGAACTTAAGAGCCTCTGTTCACATGACTAGGGAGTCCCTCCTTTTGCATCTCTAAAAAGTGTATTTCTAATTCCTCTGTTACCCTGGTTGATGGGTCAATGTCCAATGTGTCAAGGCAAGGTATAGATATGCCTACTTCTTCCCTTTTCATCATTGTACTATATGTTCCAAAGTTCTCTTTTCACTTTTAGTTGTGAGCAAATTAACCAAATCTCTTCATTGCTCTATAGCCTTTTATCCTTCTTTATCTTTCAAGATCTAAAAATGAAGAACAATAGGTTGAGGGTATGACTCAGGCGGCCTGTACTACTTGGATCATAACTTGATTGGTACAACTCTTCACTTTGTTGATTCTCCTTTCTTAATGGCAGTGTAAGTTGAGTCATCCTTCACTCAATAACTTGAAGTTGTTAGTCCCTTCTTTGAAGTCTGTGTCTGCTTTAAAGTGCAAAGCTTGTCAGTTAGAAAAGCATCATAGGGTGTTTTGTCCTGGAGTTGACAGATGGAGACTTGAAGTTTATAGTGGTTCATTCTGATATATGGCTCCAACTAGAGTATAACGTTTGTCTAGCCATCGGTATTTTGTAACTTTGTAGATGATTATTCACGAATGACAGTCATTTTTAATAAAATAGAGATATGAGATTTTCTCCATTTTCAGATTGTTTCATGAAGAGATCAAAATTCAATTCGATAAAAATCTGTGTATTTTACATTCTGATAATGCTGAAGAGTATCTTTCTAGAGAATTTCGAAATTGTTTTGAAAAAAAATAGGATTTTCACAAATTTCTTGTACGCATACTCCTCAACAGAATGGGTTGAAAGAAAAAATCAACATTTACTTGGAAATAGCATGTTCTCTGCTCATTAATATGCATGTCCTAAAGGTTTCTTGGGGAGATGCCTTGCTGATCTCATGTTATTTAATTAATCGTATGCCCTTCTCAATCTTAAATGGAAAAACACCACACTCGGTTTTCTTTCCTGATTCTCCATTGTTTGTTGTTCCTCCTTGAGTGTTTAAGTGTGTTTACTTTGTTCATATGGTAGGTACGAATAATGATAAGCTAGATCCACGGGCTATCAAGTGTGTCTTTCTCGAGTATTCATGCTTTCAAAAAGGTTATTGTTGCTATCGTCCTGGTTTACGAAAGAAATTTGTTTGTCTCGATGATACTTTTTTCTTTATAAAATACTACTTATTTTTCAAAAGAGCCCCACTCGGTTTTCTTTCCTGATTCTCCATTGCTTGTTGTTCCTCCTTGAGTGTTTAAGTGTGTTTACTTTGTTCATATGGTAGGTACGAATAATGATAAGCTAGATCCACGGGCTATCAAGTGTGTCTTTCTCGAGTATTCATGCTTTCAAAAAGGTCATTGTTGCTATCGTTCTGGTTTACGAAAAAATTTGTTCGTCTCGATGGTACTTTTTTCTTTATAAAATACTACTTATTTTCAAAACAGAGTTGTGTGCTTGATACAAATATTTTTTCGATGATACTTTTTTCTTTATAAAATACTCCTTATTTTTCATAAGAGAGTTGTATGCTTGACACAAACATTTTTTATCATGCTTCAAAGTCCTTCACTTATATGATTCCTCTTCCTATTCCTATTCAAATTTCTTCACCCGTCACCTAACTCCACTGACTCTGGTACATCTACACGTAATGATGTTTCTCATAAGCAACCCATAAAGGTTTACACCAAAAGAAAAATGCAGGGTGGACATCCCCCACCAACTCATTCAACCACTCAATCATCACCTTAGTCTACTAATTCACTTCCTTCTGACGATGATGATGTGCTATTGCCATCCGTAAAGGTATCAGGTCTTGTACGCAACATCCAAATTGCACATTTTGTTAACTTTACAAATTTGTCTCCTTTGTATCAAAGTTTTACTTCAAATTTTTCATCTATTTATATTCCTAAGACCTATCAAGAAGCACTTTCTCATATTGGGTGGAAGAGAGCGATGGAAGAAGATATGGATGCACTTCATTCAAATGATACATGGGAACACACCGAGTTACCAGCTAGAAAAAGCATTGTTAGGTGTCGATGAGTTTATGCAATCAAATATCAATGATGGCACTGTAGAAAAATTGAAAGCCAGATTGGTAGCCCAAGGATACACACAAATATATGGCATTGACTACTGTAACACATTTGTCCCAATTGCTAAAACATAATTCAGTTCGAGTGGTTATATATGTGGCTGCCAACAAGGGATGGCCGTTGTGACAGCTTGATGTTAGGAATGCTTTGCTTCATGGTGATTTACATGAAGAGGTCTACATGGAACAACCACCAGGATTTGTTGCTCAGGGATAGTCGGATAAAGTGTGTAAGTTGAAGAAATCCATTTATATGGCCTGAAACAGTCCCCACGTGCATGGTTTGAAAAATTGAGTGAAATTGTTATAGCATATGGATTTCAACACAGTCATAGAAATCATTCAGTGTTTATTTGGAAACAGGACTCCAGAATAATTGTTTTAGTTGTCTATGTTGATATTTTTTTTAAGTAATCTATGTTGATGATAATGTAGGCAAGAAAGAATTAGTCCTTTGAAGAGACATTTAAAACAATATGTTCAACCGAAGGATTTAAGCCAGGTGTGCTACTTTCTAGGAATTGAAGTAGCCAGATCAAAGAATGGCATTAGTTTGTCTCAAAGACAATACGTGACTGATATGTAGAGAGAAACTGGAAAGTTATGTGCTAGACCCAGTGATATGCCTATGGATTCAAATACAAAATTATTGGCTAATTAGGGGGAGTTGTTTGAGGATTCAGGAAGGTACAAATGATTGGTAGGCAAGCTGATTAATCTTACCATCACCAAGCCTAACATTGATTTTGTAGTAACTGTTGTGAGTCAGTTTTGGCATGCTCAGAGGATTCCTCACTAGGATGTTGTTCGTAGAATTTTAAGGTATCTGAAGGGAACCCCCAGGTCGAGGTCTGATTTAAAAGCCAAATAATCAATTAGCCATCGAAAGTTTACTCAAATGCTGATTGGGCATATTCCCCATCTAACAAGTGGTCTACCACAGGTTATTGTACATTTATTGGTGGAAACTTAGTAACATGAATAAGCAAGAAACAAAATCTTGTGGCAAGATCTAGTGCATAGGCTAAATAGAGAGCAATAACAAAAACTAAATGTGAACTGATGTGGCTGAAAATATCGATGCAAGACATGGTTTTACTGTTGCTGAACCCATGGAAAGTTTACTCAAATGCTGATTGGGCATATTCGCCATCTAACAAGTGGCCTACCACAGGTTATTGTACATTGGTGGAAACTTGGTAACATGAATAAGCAAAAAACAAAATCTTGTGGCAAGATCCAGTGCATAGGCTAAATAGAGAGCAATAACAAAAACCACATGTGAATTGATATGGCTGAAAATATTGATGCAAGACATGGTTTTACTGTTGCTGAACCTATGGAGATGTATCGCAATAGTAAAGCTATATAAGTTATAGCCAGTAATAATCCAGTGCTTCATCAAAGGACCAAGTATATTGAAGAAGACTGTCATTTTATCCTAGACAAAGCTGCTAGTAAGCAGGCGTCCACTCCATTTGAAATCTAAGGATCAGCTAGCAAACATCTTCACCAAAGGCCTTGGGTCATCATTATGTTCCATACTATTTGTTCTAAGATCAGCATGGGTGACATTTATGTCGTAGCTTGAGGGGGGGAGTGTTAAAAGTCCTTCGTTATTTAAGTTTTAAGACCTAAGTGTCCTTTGTTACTTGTATTGGCAGTTGTGTCCTTCCATAGTTTTTAATAATATATATTGGTTTGAGAGATGTGTGAGGTGCAACCAGACCTTACGGCACCTTATTCCCTATCACATCTCTCATATCTATGTCTCTTCTCTCCCTTATTTCTCTTTCTCTTTTTCTCTCTCTAGATTCTCTAACACCTTGATATGCATTCACTGATAGAGAAAGAACTGAACATATTTGATTGTGTTTCCAATTTGATTTGCACCATATTAAAAAGTTTAATGAACCCTTGCGACAGATATCCAATAAATAAAACACCAAAAAGGTGAATCAGCGCAGTTAGGACGATCCTTGCGTACGTGCAGTGGAGATTAAGATAAAGTTCAAAAGGCTTTCCTGACATGCATTATGAGCCAACACTTCCAGTAGCTGAATGAAGAGTGGATATATGTACATCTAATAAAAAAGATGTAGAAACTTGTCTCAGGATCCTATCAAGACTGCACAAGAAAACTACAACAACTATATTAAAGGAAAGATCAAAGATCACACCTGATATAGCTGGAGTCAGGATCCCATCTCCAATCACCATGCAAGTGCCAACAAGGACAACAATAAGAAGCACATTCTTTCGATAAAATTGTGCCTCTAGCCATGCCTTTGTTTTGGCCGCCAAAGAGTTCTCATCATATACATGGCGGCTGTATGTTGTAAGGTTTTCATCTGTGCGATGCTGATTGGGGATGGTTTTTATTTTTGCATGTCTACAAAGAAGGGAATAAAGAGCAAAAGTTCCACCTACACAATAAAGGAATCAAAATCAGAACAAGGTTTTGATATATACCATCGGATATGCAATACTGAAAAATATAATTATTGGATGAATGTGAGACATATTATAGGTGTAGCAACAAGAAAATTTTGATTAAACAAGTGCTGGCATCTTTATGCCACAAGCCTAGGACTCCATAAAAGTAGGATGTATAGGCAATACAAAAGCAGGAAAGTGAAAAGCTATATAATTAAAGTGAACTAATCACCCACACAGTAGCATTCCATGATAAATTTTTCGGATTTTAGATCCTAAGTCAAACAAATAGATGGAAGAGAACATCCATTATATTTCAAATCAACAAGTTTACCAACACTAGCAAAGTCCACAAACAAACTAACAAACAAAGAAAAATGTCACCCAGATAAAAAATCAAATATGAACAGAAAAAATGGTTTCTACATGTAGTAACAATTCGAGATACTCCAATCACAGAAACAAGTTTTGAAGTACGGTTAAATCATCTTGGAACACAACAATATAAATTGAGAAGTGCATTTTCTTAAGAAATTGTGCATTTACTAAACAAATGGTTACTAAACTAGCAACATTACAGTGATGTTCAATAGCATGATGAATTCAACAGATGATACATTGGACTAGCCTTGAAGGAAGTGATTCAAAAGTAACATAAGGTATGAGTACAACACAACATTTCACGCAACACAAGGACAAGATGTGACAATGTTTTTTCCTAGGTTGCACCATATCTAAAACAAAATAAAATTGATTTTAAAGCTATTCCATCCCAGTAAATAGTTACAATCTCATGTACCTCAGTTTTATTCACCTGCAAAGCAGTTACATATTTCGTATCAAAGTATTAAGCAATAGCTGAATAAGGTCGGTGGCAATTAGGAAGCTTACAATTAAAAATCATGAGGAACCTTTTTTATTATTAAAAAAGTCAAGAGGAGCCTTAAAAGAGAGCAATCTGGAAAGTTAGATATGGAATGCTTCTGAACTTTTGATCAATGCACAGAAAACAGAAAAGCAGTTCAAACTAGAAATTTTGGTACAACTACCAATTGAACCTTGAGATCATGAAGACATCATAAACATCATAAATACAAAATTTACCAATAACACATTTAATAAAAAATAGAAACAGAGAAAACATTATCATACGAAGTTTATAAAAAAGCTAAAATCATCATATATAAGAGATAATGGGACTGACTTTATTGAAGATACAAATTTTTTATGGAGGTGCACACAGTAGGCATAACAGGCAGTCCCGAGATGGTTTGGAGTCCAGAATGCCTAGAGGCTCCGTGCAAGGTTGTCATAATTTGCAGAAAGGAACACTAATAAATTTAAACATATATCTAGTAAATAATACAATACTAGTAACATTAATATGAGGGAAATGACATAGTTCCTCCTCTCAATGATTTAAGGTACACTTAGACCTTTGGGTATACATACACCCTGTAGCCCCCTGCACTTTAAAAAGATGAGACCAATACCAACCCCCACCCCACCCAAAAAAAAAAATTTACATGTGACCAAAATATATTTTTCCTATTCAAAAATACCAAATAGTTGTCTAGAAAATTTTCTCACCCTAACCATTACCTTGAAACGTTTTGCAGAATATCTTGCCGGGAAAAATAAAATAAAATACAAATGACCTCTCCCAAACGCCAAATTCACAAGAAAATGAAAGGGGGTGTGTCATAACATGTAATGCCGTCTCCCTTTGATTCTCTCTCCTATTCTGGCATTGGCTCAAAAAGCAGTCCGCCAGCGCCTAGGCAAGATGGGGGGGCAGGTGTAGGTGGGCACCCAGGGGGCTGCACCCGACTAGGTGAAAAATACCCATCGAGTGGGGTATTTTTGGTCTTTTCTTTGTTTGGATTATAAAAAATGCATAAATATGAACTTTTTATACAAAAATTTGTACCTAAAACAGGGTTACTAGACAACATTTGCCCCCTTTTGAACTTGGGTGGCCTAGACCCCACCCCACCGCCTAGGCGTTGCCTGGCGTGTTTTGGAACACTGGATTCTGGCCATTTCCCCCCAGAATAGTAAGTCAATAGATTTTTAATTTTGGTGAAATCTAGGGCTCTTGTTCACAAAGGTGATCTCTGTGAAGTTTCCCAGGAGAAATTTTATTCTTGTTCTCATCAAAAAATCAAGAAATTTGCCTTGTATGCTCCTCTTTTTCATTTTATTTTGATCCACAAACAAGGTGATGGAGCATGTTTTTCTTCTCAAAATAGTCTGTCTCTCTCGTTCTCTCTAAATGCATTCTCTCTCTATAAAAGTAAATTTATTGTCTTCTTTATATTCTCTCCATATTTCATTCTCTATCCATGTAAAATCTTTCCCCTTGCTAGTTCTTTCTTTCCCTTTGTCTTTGTTTTTGTCTCTATGGCTATATTGGAGTAAAGATGTTTTGTAGAGGTAGGACAATTATAAAACAAAAGGTTGGCACTACTCTTGTTGCCTTAATGCCCATTATTTGACATCAATCAATGACTATACTTATCTTCTCACTTTTCAGGCAAATGTGGGGAAATTCCATCCACTTTTCCAGCGACTTCCATCCAACCCTAATCCCAACTATTTGGAGTCGGCTAAATGAATCATGTTCTACCATTTCACTCTATCAAGGGCCATACCCTCAATCAGACCATAGGTCATCATATATTTTCTCACTACTTCCATCAATATCCTTTGGGGTCTTCCAATTGCCCTCTTAGAGCCTTCCACTTGAACCAAGTCATCCCTCCTAACCAGTGTTGTTCTCAGTCGACGCAACACATGGCCAGACCACTAAAGTCTACTTTCCCTCATTTTATCACCTATTGGAGCTACCTCTAAGTTCCTCGAATGCATTCATTTTGAATTCTATCCTTCCTTGTCTTGCCACTCATCCATCTCAACATCTTCATCTCAACTACACTTATTTTATAGATATATTGTTTCTTACCCGCCCAACATTTCGTCCCATAAAGCATGTTGGTCAGCTGTCCTCTAGAACTTCCCTTTCAGTTTCATTGGTATGCGATGATCACATAAGACTCCAGAAGTACATCTCCAAAAGAGAAAGGATTGAAGATTGTTGCATTTGACGACACGGCTCATTACATTTCCCTATGAATTTCCCCGCATTTGCGTAAGAGAAGACTGGGTTTTTACCCAGCAAGATATCCTGACCAAACTTTTCAATGGATAGGATTACAAAGAAAATCCCAATCAACTCTTTGGACAATTATTTTTAAAAAAGAAAGGGATATTTTGTAAGTAGAATATGTAAAGAGACAGGGAGGGGGGTCTAAGTGGAACATGAATTACTGAGAGGAGGCTTATGTCAATTTCCCTTAATATAGTTATTTATTATCTCTGTACTATATCGCACACATCAGTCACCATATAAATGGTATTTCCATTGGATAGGCCAGTGGTCAGATTTGAATTTGGGATGAAAAAGGGTAAGACAGCGTGGCTTGGTTTTTGGGACAAACATCAAAGTTTCAAACCCTTCACCTCTCTCACACAAATGGGACATCATACCATTGGGACGAAAGCATTATCACTTCTATATGTTACAACATTGACAGTACAATCCAATATAAGTTCCTAATTCCATAGAAATCCAGTCTCATAATTCAAGGTATAAAATAACTTAAAAATAATGTACTCGTACAAATATAGATCCAACCTAATTAATATATTTTAAGCTATAAATTGCGAACAAAACCTATTAATAGTGATAGTTACACATACAATGTTCTCTACAAGACTACAACTCGAACTATTATTTCAATGTTCTTTATTCTGAAGAATCCTAGGAAAATCAGAAACCTAATAGAGAATTGAGGAATGACATATTTGATGTGTACAAGTGTCAGAAGAATCTCATTTCAGGAGTCTTCATTGTGAAACAATGCAGGAGAGTCTTAGAAGAATCTGGGTGACCACCTGTGTCAATGTTCACACATGTACTTACCCAGCTAGATGAATCCGGTAAAATAGGTGGCACTATAGGGAAATACACTGCTCCCCATTACTAATCATCTTATTCTATAATCTGTCCATTATAGAATTTCCTAACAACAAGTTGAGAGGAACAAATGCCAGAAAGCCATGAGAAGCAACCAATAATATTGCACATATGGTAGTAATGAATACATACGGACTTCAAACGTAACTCCTAAAATATGCCCACGTAGTTTAAAACTATTCGAAAATTTTCTCTATACGATACTTATCAAAAAAGCATCTCTACAAGGACTAACCATACCTTCTTGTGAATCTCATCCTGCAGAAAGGTAGCTAAAGCCAACTGTACATATACACTTTCTTCAGCAATAACATTTGAGGCAAACGTTGTTAAATGTTCATTACAGAAAATTATTTCAATTGTGTTTTCATGTGAACCACATGCTTAAAACTCAAAAAATTGCCACTATAGCAATTCACTATGCTGCCAAACAACATCACACCTTAAAAAACCTCCAGTGACACACATCAAGTGCAGAAAGCATCTAAACTTGTTTTATATTAAAGAGCCATTTGAATACTCAATACTGACATTACCCCACCTTTGTTTAGAAAACATGGAGGAGTAAAACAATGAAATCATGCATCCCTCACCAATGCATTATTACACGTGAACACGGACTTACACAGGATGCTAAGGCACATCTATTAGATATCTCTTAAGGCAGGGTAGTACACGACATCATTTGGTTATCAATGTTTCAAAGGATAATAAAATCCTTATACTCAATACTTGAACCCATATGTTTTCTATGCTCACTACAGGGTTAACCCAATACCTATTGTGATTTGCTACCCTTGAAAACATACTAAACTTGACATAAAACATACTAAACGTAACATAGTCACTTTCTTGAGCATCAGGATTCGATGGAAGAGATAAAATGTTTCCAGTGAATGTTGCCAACGATAAAATGTTTCCAGTGAATGTTTATCAAAAGAAAAGGATATTCTCTGCATTTCCTTGGTTAGCAGTCCAGCTGTACCCAATGAGGATAGCATTCACTAATCGTCCAAATTTCCCAGATATAAACTATTCTTACTATGACCCTCAGAATCTCTCAGGCTCTTTTCAGAAGAATAGAAAGACAATGACATCACGAAACACATACAACCTTTTTTCATCTTATAAAAGCAATTTATTCAAGTGAAAGAATGAATTCACTCAATCACAAGTTCTAATGATTTTCCATTTAAATGCATTTGCATGGTTCATTTGATAGATAGAGGATAGAACCAAAAGCAACTTACCTTGGCCATTGTCATTTGCCCTCAAGACCAAAAATACATATTTGAGAAGTGGGATGAGAGTTAAAGAGTATATAATCAGTGAAAGAGCTCCTATCACATCTTCTGGGTCATTTATTCCATGAGGAAAGGTGCTGTAAAATACATACAAAGGAGAAGTGCCCAAGTCCCCATAGACCACCCCAAGGCTCTGGAATGCAAGGCGCAGAACAAATATAGTTGAAAATTTCTGCAAAAGAAACCACATAAGTCAGTACTAAATTGCTGTTAACATATTGCACAATCCAGCCAAACCCCTCGAGATGTAAAGGTAATGCACAATCCAGCCAAACCCCACAAGATGTACAGGAAACGAAAGATCTACTCTATGCCTATACAAGGAGACTTGAGTTTGGATAAGAACCAACCATGAAAAACATAGAATAGTTGTGGAAACCTTAAAGAAGCCAATTCTCTCTTTTTTTTCTAATAAGAAAAGTAGCCATGTTGGAAGTCCCAGACTAAGCTTTAATTAGACCTTCAAATGTTTTCCCCTCTCTCTCTCTC